TGTTGCAGCTGGAGATGGAGGATGAAGACACTATTGATGTATTTCAGCAACAGACGGGAGGAGTCTGTTAAGTGGAAAGAGTCAACAATTTTTTGTTTTGTTTCTCCTTTTCAATTCAGTTTTCTTTTTCTATTAGGTTTATCGACTGTGCTTCCCTAAATGAAAGACTTCACACAACAAAAAATAAAAAGGATAATAATGATCATTTGGGGCCAAATACCGACTTTGAGATTAGGTAACTTAATGTTTTATTCACCAAAACAGATTTGAAATTCATAAGGACAGAGTACATCTCATATTATGGCTTGTAATGACGGGACCATTGTGGGGTTTTTGTGATGTTCAGCTGTCTGAGTAAGCTAAATGACATGCTTTCTTTTCTGTTTCTTGATATTTGTTTAATTTTTTTCCAGATAATGGTAAGAATTCATATTCATGATGGACTTGACTATTTAAATATTCACGTACTTATGAGGAATGCTGCTGGGATAGTCAGTAGTGATCTGTTCATAGATGGGAGATTTTGTGACATTATTCTCATGTAGATTTTAGTCGCGTTTTTAAAAGAACATTTAGAAATAATCTGTCCATGCACAGTTTATCTTCAACAGGAGAAATACTTGTGCTTGGAAAGCGTCATTATGGATGGTTTACCTCAATACTGTTACCTTCAAAGTGGATTTATCTGACTGGTAGTACAGTAAGGTTCTTGGACCAAAAATGCTAAATGAAAAGGTTTCTTTTTATAAAAGGGTTTGACTAATATAAAAATGTAGATGTAAAAGTTATTGTAACTCAGTGGTTGGTGGTATTGCACAGCAGAAAAACGGTTGTTTTCATGTGTAAAGTTGATTTTATGCCTGTCCAGGACTTTAAAAGGGGAAAAACTCCTCACCTTTTATCAGAGACATTTTATCTCATCCAAGAATAAGTATTTCACTCATTGTATACATACATACATGACATGTTGCCAATTTGAATACGTTTGTAAAAAGTCTATCCAAACATTAACGTTGTTTTATGCTTGTGTGTTGATGGAACCTTTTTTGTTCTTGTTCATTTTCACCTGCGTTTCAAATTTAAACATTTTAGATTTGCATGGTGATGTTGGCAAATGTTCTTTTTCTTTAATTTTTTTTTTTTTTTTTGTCCTTATACTGTATACAATAAATATAGTTTGATACTCAGCTGCCTGAACCCTGTTGGCTTTCATTTGTGTCAGAGTACTGTAAAGTCTTTAGTTGCCAGTGCAGAGCGAGTGTAAAATATTTACATCTTTGGCATAAACGGGAACTCATTTAAAATGGCTGGCAAAGAAACGTGCCTGATTTTCTAAATACAATGATGTGTTGGGTTTTTTTTTTTTTTTTTTTAATATATATCTGTGGTTCTTCCTCGTCAAACTACATGTGAAAATAAGTATCCTGGACACTGGTTATGATGGGAACTCACGGGAAGTAAATGTTATGTTAGGTCATCGTAGTCTAAGGAGCTTGGAAAGACTTCACAAGGCCAGGTCAAAGAAATCTGCCAGCATGATTCTTTGGGCTTAAATTTTAAGAAAGAAATATGAAAATTTACAGAAACCTCTGGTAGCTCATTACCCACTCTACTGTAATAAGCTTCTACTATTTAAAAATAAATAAATAAAAAATACTACTTTTAAAAAACTTATTACATTTAATGTTTTGTTTTGTTTTTTTTCTCATGCGGACCCACCATAACAATAGAATTTTCTATTGTAGATTTGGGGGGGGTGAATAGAAATTATTTACTTTGGTGTTGTCTGCATGTCAGTAGGAAAAGCTGTTAAACTTAAATATAGCCAAGTCCCAAAACTGCCCTCCTTAAGTGGCCACTTTTTCTTTTTCTTTTTTTTTCTTTCTTTTTTCTTTTTTTTTTTGAAAGGTGTCCTGTGGCCCAGATTTGAGTCCTTGGCAGGCTACTTCTGGCCCCTGGCCCATATGTTTGGTACCCCCTGACCATTAAACCATAATGATCAAGTTATTTAGTCTTCCTTTGAAGGGTTGTGGACATTTAGCTTTGTCTTAATCTGCTCCAGAGTAGGAAGCAATATACACTAGATGGCACCATTATCCTTACGATCTGTTGGTACTTGATTCAATCACTGCACCCTCCAGCGCCATAAGTTAAAATACAAAGACACATTTGTTAATCTACTCGAGCCTTATGAAGGCTATAACTTCATGAGTCTCCTTTTAAGAGAGCTTGATTTCACAGATGTTACTAAACTGAGCAGCCAAGTGAACTCCCTGTGAGATTCCGCACACACTGGCGTGATTGTGCTGCTTTTATTTTTGGCACCTCTTTTGCATTTTATATTTCCTCATGGACATATCTGAGGCCATCATACCACCCCCCCAAGATTTTTCAGAAATGCAGCTGCAAGATGCCGCCTCCACCCATACATGCAACATCCTGCTGGCATCTAATGTACAATCTTTGGAAGAATATTCAGCAATTTGTGTTAGGTAGAAAACTGAGGTGCTGTTGATTAAATGAGTAAAAGAAAAATTATCTGTTGTTTATTTTAATTAAGCTTATGTTAATCACCTTTCTGCACATTCTATATCTACTAAAAATGAAACCATTATTTACTTTGAGGGGTAAGAATGAAACAGTCTTCCTCACTGTTTGTTTTTATTGCTGCTGTGTCACCGTCCGCTGTGTCAGGAACGCTTGTTATTTCAGCACACAACCTCATTTGTTTGACACTGCACTTAATCGACACACAGTGTTGTTGTCATTGTTTTAATGTTAAGTCATTGTTGAGCTCGTGTCATGTGCTGATCATTGTAAAGTAAGGGCTGTTTATTGTCTGAGATAATAGGTGGATTATAGAGTGAGCTGCACATTTAGATTTATGTAGAGAAAAAGAAACAATTTTCAGAGAACAAATGCAAGATTCAAAGTTAAATTATGTTGACATTATTATCGTTGTTATTTATATTGCCATAAAAAAAAAACATGGAGCCCCAAAAGTCTGTAAAAGCATACAAAGAAAATATCTCAAACAAAATTACACCACCAGTTTGAACCGTTGATACAAGGCAGGATGGCTCCATGTTTTCACAGGTTTACACCAGATTCTGGTTCTACCATCCAACCATTAAAAGTTGCAGCAGAAATCAAGACTTATCAGACCAGGCAATGTTTTTCCAATCTTCTGTTGTCCAGTTTTGGTAAGTCTATGCAAAATACAGCATCATTTTCCTCTTAGCTTACAAGAGTAGCACCCGGTGTGGTCTTCTGCTACTGGTTCTATGTATTGTGTGTACAGAGATGCTCTTCTGTGTACCTTGGTTGTAATATTAGCTCAAAGCAGTCTAATCGTTCTCCTCTGACCTCAACATCAACAAGGCATTTTCACCCAGAGAACTGCCGCTCACTAGGCCGCCTGGCACTAATTCTGATGCTCAGTTTAAACTTCAGCAGATCACCTTGACCGTGTCAACATATCTAAATGCACTGAGCTGCCATATGACAAGCTATTTGTGTTATTGAGCAGTTGAATTGGTGTATGAAATAAATTTGTTGGTAAATTAGTATCTTCAGACATCAAAATGAGCATAAATGGCTTTTGAATAAGCCAGTGCAGGGGGGAGGGGTTCTTACAGAGCAAAATAACAATACTCAACTTTAAACACGTAATGAGCGAATGAGGTCAGTCAGCTGTGCTTTGCATCCTTGGTGTTTGCAGCCAAGTAACCTCATATATGACACCCTCCCCTACTCGGTCAGTCAAGCAGGCTGAATGAAAGCACTGTGCATCTGGAGAACCTCTGGATTTTCTCCAAAAGGTTGCATGCTGATGTCACCCAGTTGTGCGTAATGTGGTCTCCACCCTGACCGCATCAGATTTCATTTTAAGCCATGTTGAAGATCCTAATATGTTTAAAAACAAAAACAGACTGGATCTGATGGGAACTCTACAGTGGATGTTGACTGCCCTTCACCACTGAATATGTACTTAGTATAATACAGATATATATGTATATATGTTTATTACACAAATGTTAAGGTGTCACAACTGAGCAGACTGCTGCTACTGTCACTGAATGTTCATCATCACATTTTACACTGAATCCAATGTTCAAGAGGTTCAAGAGTTAGTTTTTTAAAATGTAAGTTCATTGGGGGGGAAATGTTTGAAATAGCTGATAAACCGTTTTAATCAAGCTTATAGTTTGGGTTGGATGTTATGATCCTGAACCACCCCTTAGTCACATTGAGGGACTTTGCCTGATGCACTGGGCACTTCTCCATCCATCCATTATTAACTTTCCTCGCATCTTTGTTTAGCTGTCATTTGTCCCGTTTTTTAGAGGTCTCTCTTTTCCACCACATAGCTGTCCCACCCGGAGCCTGATTCTGCTGGAGATCGCTTCCTGTTAAAAGTTATAAGTTATAAGTTTGCTGTTGCTATAGAAAAGTACGCACTATTAAAAACACCTGTCTGTGTTTGTTGCTTTGACCGCAGTGATTGGTTTGCACATTTTCAGCCAATAAATATTGTCTAATAAATGACTGTTCTGAGGGAAAAGGTCATTGTGTGCAAATCTTTTCCCTCAAATAGTCATGGTCAAAATTTAGAAATAGGTGTAAATTAAAATAGCCTTATCTCATTGTGACTACTTATGATGCCTGGAGTTACTGATTTATTACACTCATGTGCTGTTTTTGGAAAACATTGTTCAATATGATAACTGGTTAAGCTCAAAACTGATAATCATACATGTGTAGAAAACGCTTGACTAATGAAGTCATTGTGACAGAGTTTGGCAGGATATTATATAACAAATTGAGTTTATCTACACAAAAAGTGAAAAACACACCGTAAGAAGGATGGATTCACTTCACAGAGTCCCTGCACTCGCTCTTCTTTTGCACGAGGGCGTCCCTTGATTACTGGCCCCTGACTCTGGACTCAAAGTACCACAATGCAACACCGAGCATCTCCTTAGCTACGGCTTTGGGAGCTACGCCCCAAGAAGAAGTGGGAGGCTCGCCCCCCTGAAAGGACTCATTGTAAAAGAGGGATGAGAGTGTGCGCGCAGGCTGCGAGTGTGTCCAAGTGTGTGTGAGCGTGTGGACACCCCCTCCTCCTTAACTAGCTGGTCAGCAGTGGAGGGATTAGGAAAGCCGGACCCGCTCACTCACTCATTCACTCACTCACTCAGTCACTACTAAGTAACAGATAGGGTTGCAGTAATCGTGAATCATGCTCGTCGTCATTACTACCGGCTGGGAGTGGAGCCGAAATTGTGCAAGATACGGATAACTGCATAGAAAAGGTCCGAGTGAGTAAGAGGAGTCACGTTTCCAGGTTTCTTCCCTTTGCCGTGAAAATGTTTCATCAGGGACTCCTCTGCCGCCGCCGCCGCTTGCGCTCGGACCCGTCGCATTATGTTACTTCCCTCACATGTGCTTTATGTTGAAGAAGAAGAAGAAGAAGAAGTGATCTGGATAAACCTGCGAGGATCCTGCCAGGGCGACTGAGCAAAGCGAAGAGCGTGCGGATATTTCCCCTTTTTATCGCCGTGCAGAGTTTTTTTTGTTTTGTTTTTTTCTCAAGTGGACTAAGAGGGGAAAAAGTTGGGGTTTCTGGTCAAAAGAGGAATCATGGGGAACGCAGGGAGCATGGACCACCACACTGATCTCAGGGGACACAACATGCCCCTGAAACTCCCCATGCCAGACGCAGGTGAACTGGAGGAGAGATTTGCAATCGTTTTGGTAAGAAAAAAGTCGTTTGCATCTGTCTTCTCTTTGTTCCCTCCATGCTCCGGTGCCCCGGGACGGGACAGCTGTGTGTGTAGGTTGGACCCTCTGTTTCTCGTCCTGCACGCCCCGATCCTCTCTTTGTTGCTCAGTTAAAAAAAAAAAGTCATTCCAAACAGAAAAGTGTTTGTTTATTTGCACAAGATCTGCATCTGTTCCTCTGATATGACGTTTTTTGAGCTTGCCAAAACTTCTAAACTTTGTTGTGTGTGTGTTTTTTTAACCGTAATCAAAGTAGCGATGAAGTTGTAGCAGGACTGGGAATTTATTGATACCTTCTTTCTTTTTGATTCAACAAGTATCTGAGTCAGCTTTTACACTTTTTACCACATAGTCCTGAAATAGATCAGACACTACGTTTTGGCCCTATAAATAAATAAATAAATAAATAAAAAAGATAAAATGTTAATATTGTAGCACTTCCACAAGTATATGCATGAGACACCTACACTGGTAACTTTATGAGTCCAGACACAAGCTCCCCATTGAAGCTTTAAGTGCCTGGCATGTCAGGTCCTTTGAAACATCTGTCACATCATAGGCAGGCAGTGGATCTGTCAACAGTTACCTTACCTGGGCACCAACATAAAGAGTCCTCCATGCAAAACAGTTCTAAACAGTTGATCAAGATACTGACTGTGTTGCAGGGATTCACAAAAGGTTTGTATATAATAGGTTTTGATTGGCCAGATGTGTTGCTCATTTCTTGGTGTACTGGTGTACTAAAGTGTTATTTACCATCTTCTTGGACAATTTTATTTATTTAAGCCATCACAGAGTAACACATGACTTTCTGCTCTCCAGCTTTGTGCCCCAGTCAGTGAATCAAAACCTGCACAGAGGAACAGTGAGGTGAAATTTGAGAGCCGGCAAAATGTGGGTCAAACGTGATTGTCGCCTGGCCTCGCGCCCTCATACACATTAACTGCTTTAGGAGAAGGAATTTGACTTGAGCAAGCCGGTTCTTATCACTGCATCGTCATGCACTCGTCACGGAGACGAGGAGAAGGTTTTTCATTTCGAGCTTGTCTCTTTTTTTTTTCAACTCGCTACAGAGCATTTTTGTTATGTTAGTGGTGGCGGGGCAGATCGTTTAGCCTGTAAGCACATCACAAAAAAGCAGTTTAGGTGGAAGTCAATTCGCTGTGCTGTGTTGGGGTGTGATTGCTGCTTGTCAGACACTGGTGAATCCCTTTCTGTCCTGGAGGCAGCACGGAGAGAGAGGTTTGACGTCACACTGCCGAGGGATTTAGGCCCTTTTCTTAATCACATCTGCTACTAGAACCACCTACTTCCTACATTTTACAAGCATTAGGAATTCCCCTCTCAAATGAGAAATAGCAAAACAGTTGGGATCTAGAAAATTTAGTCTGTTGATTATAAAACTCATCATTATTACGCTTCCCAGGATACAAATCCCCGCCCTAATCAAACTGTTTAAGTCTAAAATTTCTTCGGATGGCTATCTGAAACGCCCGTCCTCATACCATGTCAGGAACTCCCCCGCTGACTCCCCTCCTCTTCCTTGCTGCCAGCATGATGCCTGAGCTCTCGGTGGGATGGAAGCCCTCCAGCATTAAAAGAACTTAGTGCTATAATCACAGCATTTAGTGTTAGTTACTGCCGTTTAAACCCTAATGTGTCTCAGCTGTGGCTCATGGCAGTTGGCACTATCAAGTGGCACTACGTGACTCTGATCACCTCACTTCAGTTTGAGTGGCAAACGATTAGGATGATTCCCCTCGCTCTGCTTTGTGTCCTGACATAACAGAGGCCTTCAGAGCTGATCAAGATTTAAGTGGGCCATTTAGCCCCTTGTTAGTCACCCATAAAGTTTTATCAATCTGATTGGCTGGTTTCCCCTTATCAGTTATGTAAACTATAACTAAATGACTGCTTTTGGACATGATGATATATATAGTAGTCTTCTTGTTGCATATTGACACCAGATTGGTCAAATAATAGCTGCAGGACTGTTTACTTGCCACTTTTAATAGATTTGATCAACAGGCAAGCTTTGGATCACAGCAGGGAACCATTTGGATTAAAGGCTTGCACAGTATGTAACCACATTCAAGTTGTCCACAGCTTTGTATTTGTTTTTTTCTTTTTAATCGAGGACATATAGTTCTTTGCAATAGTCTTGAGTTGCCCCTCATTTCATGATATTTTGTCAGGAAAATGGGAAATAGACAGTGATTTATTAAAGTGTGCAAACATGAAAGATTAAAAACAAAACATATAAGGCAAAAACAGAGTTTGTACTATTCTAATGAGGTTGACCATCACTTGTTGTAATTTCTTTATGTATTAGTCTTCAGGATTAGTTCTCCAGGCTTCTTGAAGGACATTCAAAGCTCTTCTTTGGATGCTGGTTGCCTTTCCTCATTGTCTCTGTCACTGCTTCAATAACGCTGAGGTGTTGGCTCTGAGGAGGTCAATCCACGACTGATACTGCTCCATCATTTATTTTTTTCTATCCATTGTTCTGAGCTCCTCCGTACACATGATGACACTTTGATCCAAAGATTACAAATTTTGATTCATCACTAAATAAGACCTGTTGCCACCGATTCTTAGTCCAGTTCTAGTGTAATTTTTCATAACTCAGCCTTTACTCTGTTTTTTCTTCCTTATGAGTATCTGCGTAAAAACCACCCTTTCATGTGTTATCGTTGGCATTTTTCATGAATTCAATTAAAGAAATGAGGACATATGCTTTTGCAATAGACTGAGTAAAATAGCAGTTAATGTCCAGAGAAAAACTTTCAGCAAGCGTGGAGAACTGTTGCTCAAGAGCACTTAAAAATTACATGAAAGTCTAGAGCCTTGGAAGCAAAATATAAAGAGAAATGAAGGGTGACAAGAGTTTTGCACAGAACTACACTCTATTAAAATTTGCACGGTGTGTGATGTGAAAAGCTTTTCAGATATGAACTCGTGACTCAAATCATCTGAGCAGACTGCATCTGTGTGTAACCACACATGTAAAATTAACCTAGTTTCTACAGTAAAGATTTTGTGTAGCTGCACAAGTAATGTTGACTTGTGTTGTACAGGAACTGGTGTCACGGTGTTCTGTTAAACTACCCACTGAATGCTAGAAGATCCAGGAAGTCCAGGATCTTGGCACAGTCCACAAGATGAGTTAATGTGTCAATGCCATTAAATGGTCCTTCACTGCAGATTGTTTTAGCAAAAATGTTTCCAAGGTCAAGAATAAACTGTTAAGATCAATGCAAAATTCAGTGTTGTTAAAGTTTATCACCATATTATGTCTGTAGTTAATGATTTGTGTACATGTGCCAATCTAAATTATACTTAGAAGTCCCCACTTCTTGGCCGTTGTAATATCTTGTTGTTGTTTTTTTGTACTTATCGCATTTATCTCATTAAAATAGTTGAAAGCTTGTATTTAAGACCCAAAGAAATAATAGAAACTATAACCTTTGCCTGTGCTCAGTGAGCTAACCCTAACTTATACTGATGTAGTTTTAACTGCCTTCAGCTCCTTCAAAGCTGTAGTAAGTTAAATTTCAACCCACCTTCCTTAGATATGGTTGTTTGCTATCACTGTGTGTGATTGTCATACAAGTGGCTTGCCTCTGGTGGAGTCTGCAGTTTCTACCAAATGAAAAGCTCCCAGTGAAGTGGCTCATTAGGCCAAGAACTGATCTCTGAAACAGACTTGAGCTAATAGTAATCTGAGGCCTCTGCTGTGATCGGACTGCCTGATTCACATGCAGCCTTGGCCTTCAGTCAGAAGGAGATTAAACCCAAATAATCTTTGTTTAGACGGCGCAGATTGTCATAGAGACATAAATAGGAATTTGTTTGTATGCCAAGGATCTCTGCTTTCTATGACTCCTCATTGTTGCTGGTTCTTTTAAAGCATCTTTGCTCGCTTGTTGTCGTAGTATTGGTAACATAAGTCAACCACAGATGAGTTCCACATGATTATGAGTGAGCCCTCTTGATGTCTAATCTGCACGGCACAGTTCTGTCATGTCAGTGTGCTGCTGATCAGTTAACCATACACTCGCCAGATCCAGACAAAATTTCTGAACGGCATTTTTAACATGTTTCTTGGCTTATAAGTGCACAATAGCTGAAAGCACGTGAAATGATTACAGTCGGTCTTTGGGAGTCACATGTACAGTATTAGTCAGTCTATATGCTTCACACTGAACCAAAGGAAAATGACTCTGTAACAGGAATGCAGCCAAGGCCTCATGTCTGCTCTTCTGCCTCAGCTAACCACAGAGTTGACAATCAAATTAGATTGCACCCACATCCAGGAGACCGTCGAGTTGAATCTCTGAGTATCGTGCCTGCTGTCATGGAGACAGAGAAGTTCAGAGTCATTACTTGTTTAAATGCCATATGGGGGGGACTGTAGCTTGGATGCTGTTGTTGCTCTTCTCAGTAGTCTGCCCAGATTACGTCTAAGCTGCTTTGTTTAAAGGCTGCGACGCACCACAATCTGCTGTTATTTCTGCTGTGAGGTACCGCATCTGAAATCCACTCCAGCAGATTAATCACAAGAGTAGCCCTCATGTTTAAATGAAGTCTAATCTGTCACATTGGCAGGTCCAGAGTGGGTTTTTACCTGGAAAACGCTTTCTGGTACTTCCCAGGGTAAGGTGTATCCAAAGTGCATTGGTGGTAATATGCAAATTGGCTTTTTGTTAGAATGTCATTCAAATGTGCGAAGACACTGAGCCCTGCATCTCGCACAGTGCTACATGAAACCCAGGAAGTGACTAAGCTAAACCTCTTAGGTTTTTCCACGTTGACTCTTCTTCATTAATAAAATAGAACAGTGGGTTTTGTCTGTGGTGCAGAGGATGAGCAGTGGCTGAATCCCGTGCGTCAGGACCACCAGACAGAGCTGCTCTTTATTCTGTGTGAAGCCCAAGACGGAGCCTGGCACTGGACCCAGAGCCGGCAGGCCA